TAAAATGGGTCCAAGTTTGATCTCAGAATGTCCATGGAGATTCTCAGTCATCCAGGTCATGGTTGTCCCAAAGGTGCTTTTTCAAGGGCAATTGGACTTCCTTTGCCCTTCCTTGAGGATGTTTTGCTTCTCATCCAAGAAGCTTCTTCAGTTCTCAGAAGATACTCCTCATGCTGTCACCCAGCAGCACCAAAAGAAACCTTCAGATACAATCTGGGAACATTTGCGTAAACTTCTTACAATTCACCCCAAAGGCATCCAGACCAAACAACGCACTGTCAAGACTACCCTGCCCTCCATAAGGCTCTAAAACTTGAAGAGAAGAATGAGTCAATGGATGAGTCAGAGAGGAGGGTCATGCTAAGAGACAGATCCAGTTATCAAACAGAGCTGACATCCTGTGGAAATGGGGATGTGCTGATAAATGGGGGGGGGGGTTGCAAGAGGAGCTGTTAAAAAACTGCAGTGGGATCAGTTCCTCCCACAGTACTTGTGAGAGAATGGTCTTAAGCCTACAAACAGCAGATATAACAAGCCCTGCATGGAGTTGCTTTGCCACAGCAGCCAATCATGGGCTGTGAGCTATGACAGCTATGGGCAACCAGCGGCAATGGGCTGGACCCACAGGTCTCATTGAGTCAAAATGTGACTTGTTTGTTGCTGGCTTAATGAGAGGGTGGCTAACTTCTTGGTAGCTGAGTACCACACAGGATATACTGATGATGTAACACAAGTAGGACTATGTGATGTATGAGAAGGAAGGAGAGGGTATTCAGCAAGGGTGGGGCTTGTGTACTTAACTGTGTTATTTTGGGCATAAATTTTGTTATTCATGGGCTCAGAATCAAAGGAATTGAATCAAAGTTCTGATCCCTGGGGATTACAAGGTTGACTCCTTGGACTTCTCTTGCTTTGCAGACCCAACCATTTGTGGTTCATTCTGCAAATGAGGGGTAGTGTAATAAATAAATAAATCTCAAGTTTCTCTGGCCATCAGTTGGAGGGAGAGCAACATGGGGTGTACAAGAAAGAAAGCTCTTTGTGCCTTGCTTGCTGTTTTTCTTCAAAACCATCTGGTTGATGACTGTAGAAAACTGGGTGCTAGAATAACAGGCTGCTGACTGGGATAAACACATCCCCATCAAGTCCACACAGGCTGTGACTATTTACTTGTAGCTGATTCCTGGGAACAAAGCCAACTTGCACTGGTTCATTGAAGCATGCATGCCATCGAAAAAAGAAAGAAAAACATGGCAAGGAAGAGAATGTATTTTGTCAGCCTTGCCAACCTGAATTTAAAATGGCTAAAAGCTGAACCCAGAGAAAACTGCATAAAACAGTCACTTCACCCTATTAAGAACTTTTGAAATGGTAGACAAAACAACGTTGTATTTTAATACGAAAGGTCTTTTATCAATTTGCATTCTGCTTGTCATCTCTGGATCTGCTTTGGGGTGCATGATATGTAATTCAGGGTTCCCACAACCTTCATTTCTCAAATCCTTGGCTACGGCCATCAGAGCCCTTTAAAAGTTACTGCTGAATTAGGATTTTTGAATATAGTGAGTTAAAAACCTCTAATACAAAAGAAAATAAAACAAAATAACTATAATTCATTCTTTTAATTTTAGTTAGATTCAATCATTTTTGTCCTGGCCCAACCTTTTTTTTCTTTTTCATTTTTTTTTTAGTGGAAATCCTAAGACTAAGTGTAAATTGAAAGATATTGTGCACTCAAGACCTACAGGGAAAAAATAAAAGAGTGTCCACGATGAGTCAGGCAAAGAATGTCATGTACATTGTCCTATCATTGTGCAAATGATGTACAGCATGTCATTGTGTCAATCTGAACAGTTATAAACTATATGTCATTTGGATGGCATCACGATATTGTACATACTATGTCACTATGCCTGATAACAAATGCCTACGGATACATACTAATAAAAGTCTGCATAATATCTCCATAAATACACAAAACATGCTAAGGCAAAATTATAGCTTTCAAACCACAATAGCAAGATGCTAAGCCAAGCCAAACCATCTACTACAACTTAACATGTCATGTGGACTGAGTTAGAGATTGGAATAAGAGCAAAAGCAAACTATAAAAAATTGCTTATCCTCAGAGAGCAGTTTCCAAAGATTATAGAAATCCATGGACGCTAGATTAAATTTTAATGCAACATATTTAAGAAACAGAGGAGGCAATTATGGAGTTGCTCCAGACAGTCAGGATTTGATTCTGATTTGCAAAGCATGTACAGGATAAGTTCACACATTATGTTAACCTGAAATGTGTGTAGATTAATTTCAATTTAATGTATTGTCTGAACCCACCAACTGTATAGCAATGACTATGAATATTAAAAAATGGCTTACACTAAATCAACGTCTAACCAACTGCTCAATAGTGAATATTCTGGTCCATGAGCATGTCATATGCATAGTGCTGTCATCACATAAAACAACTTTAATGAATCATTTGCCCGATGTTATTATGGTATATGAGATGATATTGTGATTTTTAATGATCATCATCATACTCTTGACTAGCAAGAGCTCTGCATGATTTATGCCAATTCTGCCTGGAAACAATGGGTATTGAACCCAGGGCCATCAACGGGCAAAATACATTTTCAACTATTTAACTACGGCCCTGTGTTGTGCAATCAACCCAATGATTTTTTTTTACCAATGGACATTCAAGTTATAAGTAGCATTTGAACATTCCACCTCCATGGACACATACAGGTATAATAGCAACAGCACCCAGACCACAAATAAATAGGGAAGGGCATACATTCCATATGCTAAAATATAATGCTGGGAAATGGCTATGTTGGAACTTTATTAAACATAGAGAATTACTCTTGTACCAAAAAATGCTAATTTTCACAATTTGTATAGTGGATGAGAACTGAAGCTTATCACCTCTAGTTTCTTCAAAGCAACACCATAGTTATGCCCCAAATGCTTCTGTATGGAATTATAGTTCCACTATATTTTTCAAGCTAGCCTGTTACTAAAATAAAACTGGAGAGTAGAAACATGACCCTAATAAAGCAGTAAAGAACTTTTATGTTAAGTTTTATGCCATAAGTATAGCAATCTGCTGTAACAGTAGGCCTGTTATTGCTCTTGTGAGGTTATTATAAATTTCTTTTCAGGACATTCATACAAAATTACTCATGTGATGATGCCATTCTAATTTGCATTAAAATAGCAAAAAAAAAAAAAAAAACACATTGGCAGACCCTCAGCATCATATTAAGATTTCCTGTAAAGAGAAAGATCAGGTTTTCTCGTCATCTTCAACCACAGCATCCTGAATCGCTTCTCATAAAGCTAAAGACAGTTCCAGCACCTGCAGCTCGAAAGAGACAATTACATATTTTACTACCTCCATTCCCTCCCCTATGCTAGTTTTCTCTTAGGCCGAACTTCATTGGAGATCTTCAATTGGAGATCAGCTACACAAAAACCACCACCCAGCTAAAATTCAACTCAGGATGGTAAAGAAGAGATGAAGGTCAGGGATAAACCTCAGAAACATGGGCAGCTTTCTTCTCTATTAAACGTACTCGTACACTCTTTCTTCACCTGTGGAATCCTGATTGCTTCTTATTACTAGAAAGAGCATCTTAGAGCAGGGATCCCCAACCCCCAGTCCGTGGACCAGTACTGGTTCGTGGCATGCCAGCAACCAGTCCACACAAATAAGCAAAGCCCCATCCACAGGATGCAGGCAGCACACAAAACCATGTCCCCTCCGGTCCACGGAAAATCCTCTCTCCATAGAACTGGTCCCTGGTTCCCAAAAGGTTGGGGACCTTTGTCTTACAGTCTCCTTGTGATTTTTTTTTTTTTAAAAAAACCCTCTCAAATACAGGTCATCCTTGACTTACAACCACAACTGAGCCCAACATTTCTGTTGCTAAGTGAAACATTTGTTCAGTGAATTTTGCCCCATGTTACAACCTTTCTTGCCACAGTTAAGTGAACCATGGCAGCTGTTAATTTAAGAATAGGGTTGTTAAGTGAACCTGGCTTCCCCATTGACTTTGCTTGCCAGAAGATCACATGACTCTGGGACACTGCAACCGTCAAAAGTATGAGCTAGTTGACAAGCATCTGGAGTAGGGATGCTGAAAAGGTGGTAACCCTGAAAAAAATGGCCCTAAGTCACTTTTTTAAGTATTGTCATAACTTTGAACCATCACTAAATGAACTATTGTCAGTCAAGGATTCTCTCTCTCTCACTCACTCACTCTCTCCCCGGTACCCAGAGAATGTCCATGGTACCAGGATTCATTTCTTTCCCTTTGGTTTCTGATCAAAATTGGATGTCTGACCAACCAATCAATCAAAACAGGGCAGGGCCGAGAGACCGGGTAGCTTTCTCTCTCTCGCACAGCCCAAACGGGCCATTCCTGCATCACGATGACCTTCGGTCATTGGCGAACTCAATCACTGAATTGGCCCAACTCTATTGGAGGCGGGGGGGGGGGGGAGAGGAGGGAGGGGCGTCCCCGCTCGCCCGCGTCCCGGCGAAGAGATTTAAAGTTTGAGCCGGAGGAAGGGAAGCTTTGCCCGGGCGCCCGGGCCCCATCCCCGCGCCTCTTATTAAGGTGCTTCCCCTCTTTCTTCCCCCCCCCCCCACCCAAAACGACCCGGTCTCCCAATCCCGCGTCTCCACAAAGGGCTGGGCGGGGGAGGCCTCCCCGTCCTGGAGCCCTTCCCCTCTTTCAGGGTCTCCAACACTGTAGGTTTTTAAGAAGAGACTGGACAACCATTTGTCTGAAATGGTATAGACTAGAGTCTCCTACCGGTGCAGGGGATTGGACTAGAAGATCTCCAAGGTCCCTTCCAATTCTATTCTATTCTATTCTATTCTATTCTATTCTATTCTATTCTATTCTATTCTATTCTATTCTATTGTCTCCGGCCAACCGGGCTAGGCAGCAAGTCACCCTCCTCCGGGACCCCGCTCGGCTCACCAGTTGCAAGGAGCAGAAGCCGATCAGCGTGCAGCGTCCGTTGCATCTGCCCATGATCGCCGAAGCCTCCTCTGGCCGTTACCGTCAGGAACAGAGCCGCGACTCCCGTTGCTAGTGACAACCTCGGCTCAGAGGGTACCCGAAAGCCGCGGCGCCGGCGCCGGCGGCTGCACGAGCAGCGGCGTCACCGGCCGGCTCCTCTGTGCCATCGCTGCCCGGCGAAAGAGCGAGAGACCGGCGCCTCGTCCCCCGCACGCCTTTTGTCTCCTGCTGCAGTTACCGCCGTCGCCGCCGCCGCCGCCAACCTCCGAACCGCGGACGCCGGGGAGAGCCGAGCCGAGCCGCCCAAGTCGTTATCTGTTGCCTCCGCCGCGGCGCTTCTCAGCCCACGGGAAGCGGCACCCTGGCTCCTTGCTCCCGCCTGCGCTCAGCAACCGCGCTCCATCCTCGGCTGGGAGAGGAGGGCTGGTCGATGGGGCGGGGGAGTGGCCGAAGCGAGCTGTCCGGGCTTTGTCCCGCGTTACACGCGGGGAAAAAAAGAGCCTCTCCGCCCCGCAGAAGTGCCTCTCTCAAAGCCTCCGCTCTATTGTTTTCTCCGCCTCCTCCGCCGACACACCCACGCCTGCGCTGCTCCCCAGCAGGCGGGCAGCGATCCGGCGCTGGTTTGTTGGAAAGCAGCGTCACTCGCGACGGAGGCAGCGCACCAACCCAGAGCCTCACCGGGAGGCAGAAGACAGCCCGCGCGGGAGAGGAGCGCTAGTGGAACCAGCCCACCCTCGTCCCGGCCCGGCCCACCACGTGGCTCTCCAGCTGCACCTTGGGCGGGGGGGGGGAAGAGGCGAGAGCGCGAGCCCCTCACCGCCTCTGCCTTCAGCTGTCCAGTCATGGAGACGGACGCCGCGGAACGAGAGGCTGGGCCTCGAGAGGCCACGCCCCTCCCCGGGCAGTTGTGGGTCCCTCAGGGTCCGCGAAGGCAGAATCGGGCGAAGTTAGGAAGGTGGAAGAACCGGATTGTGGGGCATCGCTGCTCTTCTCGACAAAAATAATAATAAAATGCATTGGGGTCGGGGGCGCGTCTGGAACATCGCCAACACGTTTGTTCTTTGCGCAGGCTGGATTCGCCCAGCATGAAGGCTTTTAAGATGGATGGGGACTCCCAACTTCAAACGTTCAACTGGGAAAATGATGCGAATACTGGTTTGCTCAATATTTTTGTATTGGGAAGATAGGCGTTGCAAAGGACCGAGTCAAAAAAGGATGACTAACCAAATTTAACATACCGTATTCTGCTAGGTTGGTCATTATTGTTGAGTGTGTGAGGCCCTGAAAAATTAATGGCTTTCAGGCGGTGGTGGGATTCAGCCAGTTCGCACCACTTCAGCAGAACCAATAGCTATTTTTTTGTTGTCGGGCCCAGAATGAACTTCCAGTGTGCCTGGCTGAGGAATTCTGGGAGCTGAAGTCCACAAGTCATAAAAGGGCCAAGTCTGAAGACCCCCTCGTTCTTAGGCATGAAAGCTGGTTGCTGAGCAACTTTGGGCCAGTCCCTCTCACTCAGTCCAACCCATCTCAAGGTTTGTTGCTGTGGGAAAAAGAGGAGGAAGAGGCATGCATGTTCACCACCTTGAGTGACTTATAAAATACCATAATGAAGGCAGGATAAAAATCTAATTAATAACATTCCCTTTCTCAGGACGAAAAGCCAAGGCAGCTAAATAAACTACAAGCAGAAACTGCATCTCCCTTGCAGATAAAGAGAAACGTAACAAAGATATCCTGAAGTTAAACTTGTGAGTGGATGTGAAGAAATGAACGTCAGAATAACTCCCACATCTTTTCAGTTCCTCCAGATGCATTAGCGCCATGTTTTCTTGTTCTGCACATCCAACATCCTATCTGAATGATCAAAGATAGGCAAACCTCAACCATATGGGAGAGAGGCTCTGGCAGACACACCTGACTCCTATCTTGCTCTGCCAGTAAAGGAAGTCAGGTAAAAACTGAATATTATGCTGAGCCTTGTTGTTTTGTTATGCAGAGTAGAGCTCCCTCATTAAATTTTAATGGCCAGGCCATTGATGGTGGTAATGGATGCATTGGTGGAGAAAACGAACAGTTTGTGTTCTCAGAACATGGAAAGCAATGGACAGCCACCTGCATGGCGTTGAAATTGGGTCACCTGTTGCAAACCTGAAATCTGACTAAGCTTGAAAAGCCCAAAAATCTAGATTTTGGTATGAACTGGATAACCTGATTTTCAAGTGACTTTAGCATCAGTTAGTTTTATTTTATTTCATGTAAAAGCCAAGTTTCAAGCTACTTCAGAAAGTGATAGGAAATGTTAAGTGGCTTTTAGAAATCCATGTAAAAGTATATACTATCTATATATGAAAGAAGTCAAGGCAGCGGTTCTGACTATACCAGTGATTCTCAACCTTCCTAATGCCACGACCCTTTAATACAGTTCCTCGTGTTGTGGTGACCCACCCATAAAATTATTTTTGTTGCTACTTCATAACTGTAATTTTGCGACTGTTATGACTCGTAATGTAAATATCTGATATGCAGGATGTATTTTCATTGTTACGAATTGAACATTATTAAAGCATAGTGATTAATCACAAAAACAATATAGCAATGCTCGATGGAGAAGCTTACTCTTCCTTGCTCAAAAATGTTGTGAGGGAGGGAAGGGGAAGGAAGGAAGGAAGATTGAAGGGGAAAGGAAGGAGATGGAGAAGGAGAAGGAAGGAGATTGAAGGGGGCAGGAAGGAAGGAAGGAAGGAGAGAGAGATTGAAGGGGAAGGGATGGAGATGGAGATGGAAGGAAGGAAGATTGAAGGGGAAAGGAAGGAGATGGAGAAGGAAGGAGATTGAAGGGAAGGAAGGAAGGAAGGAAGGAAGGAAGGAAGGAAGGAAGGAAGGAAGGAAGGAAGGAAGGAAGGAAGGAAGGAAGGAAGGAGAGAGATTGAAGGGGAAGGGATGGAGTTGGAGATGGAAGGAAGGAAGGAGGGAAGATTGAAGGGGAAGGAAGGAAGGAAGGAGAGAGAGATTGAAGGGGAAGGGATGGAGATGGAAGGAAGGAAGATTGAAGGGGAAAGGAAGGAGATGGAGAAGGAAGGAGATTGAAGGGGGGAAGTGCTGCCAAGGACGCACAAGCAGCTTCGCACAATTGCCCAGGGAGGGGGGGAGGCTCTGGTGGAGAGCCTGGTGGAGAGCCAAGCAGTGGCACTTCCGGGGCCTCGGAAGTCGCGCGGAGGATCTGTGCACCTCGGAGCCGCCGGCCGCCCTCTCACACCTGCCAACCTGGAGCCCCCCCACCTCATCCCGGCACCTCTTGCCCTCTCCCAGCCGCCCTCCCGGGACCTGCCCGCCCCTCCAGCCATCTCAGCGGTGGGGTCGCAGGAGCCCCTTTCCACGCTGCGCAGCCCATTGCATGTAAGAGGGGTGCGGCTGAAGCACCAGCTCCCACTCGGAAGGCACTGCTTCTCCCCTCCCGGCCCAGCCGGCTGGCCTTCGACGCAAATGCGGGCATCGCCACCGCCTCACCCTCTTCTCCGCTCCCTGGATGCTTCCGAGGCCCGGAGCCCAGCAAGCCGGGAAGGAGCCGCTCCTGCTCGGCAGCCCCATGGCTGCGCCGGGTGCCAGAGGGCCGAGGCAGCCTTCAACGGCAAGGGAGGTGGGCTGGGCGGTGCGGGGGAGACTCCCGCACAGTGCAGAGGGCGGCCAGGGGCGGAGTGCAGCCGGGCAACCAGGAGGCATGGAGACCGGCTCGGCGCCGCAGCTCATCTCAGTCGGCAGCGGCAGCAGCGGTTTTCTTGCCCTTCTCCTCTCCTTCCTCCTGCTGCCCCGAAAGCAGCTCGGGCGGGAGCCGGGAGGAAGAGGGGTACCTGGGGGGAGCAGCCGGGCTGGCAGAGGGGCTGGCAGGCCTCACGGCACCAGCCCCCACTGCGGCTCTATTGACGGACGGAGAACCAGGCCAGGCAGCGCAGGGGTGGTGGGGACAGCGGCAGCGGCAGCCGTTGCTGCATCATTGGGGATCCCCGCTGCCCCGCGCTGCCCGGCCTGGTCCTCCATCCATCAATGGAGCCGCGGTGGGGGCTGGTGCCATGTGGCCCACCAGCCCCTCCGCCAGCCCGGCTGCTCCCCCCAGGCACCCCTCTTCCTCCTGGTGCCCGCCCATGCCGCCTTGGGGTCAGCAGGAGGAAGAAGGAGAGGAGAAGGGTGAGAAAACTGCTGCCGCCATCCCCGCCACTCCCCCTGCTGCCTGGCCTCACCCTCCGCCCATCCGATAGAGCCGCGGTGGGGGCTGGTGCTGTGCGGCCTGCAGCCCCTCGTCCAGCCTGGCTGCTCCCCCCCAGGCACCCCTCTTGCCCTGGCACCTGCCCGAGCCACCTTGGGGGCAATAAGAGGAAGAAGGGGAGGAGGAAGAGGATAGCAAGGAAGCCGCCGCCAGCACTGGGCCCCAGGAGGCGGCTCTCCTCTCCTACCTTTGCTGAATCTCCTTCTTTCTTCCCGGCAGCCTGGATTCCGGCGCGCCTTCCTGGCCAGCGGGTCCAATGGTCAAGCTGGCTGGGGATCGCAGGGGCTGGTCTCCCTTGGGCTGCAGCTTGTGGGAGGGCTGGCCTGCTCAGCAGAGCCTCCAGAGGGCCGCTGCCAACAGGGATCCCAGGGCTTCCCCGGGCAGCTCCAAGGCCATGAGGCCCTGGCCACGCTTCTCCCAGGGGGTGGGGCACCTGGGCACAAGATCAATCAGGAGCCCTGCAGGAGGTAAGTCTGCTTGAGAGAAGGGAAGTAAAAGTGCCTCTCTCTCTCTCTACAAGTGGCGGAGGAGGCCATGCGGAGACGGATGCGGAGCAGTGTCTTGGTTCCTAAGACCATCGGAAATATGTGTTTTCCAATGGTCTTAGGCAACCCCTGTGAAACGGTCGTTCGACCCCCAAAAGGGCCGCGACCCACAGGTTGAGAACCACTGTTCTAACCTATCTTGTCCTCTTCCCCCTCTCACTTTCTCCATGCTTTGCTCTGTTCCTCTTTTCTCTAACATTCATTCAATATCTCTTCTTTTTTCAACCATAGCTTTTTCTTCTCCGAGATCCCTCAAGTCTTCCTCTGAAGCACAGTATTGCCTGTAGAAGTCTTCCACTTTCTCCACTGTATCCAATCTAAACCTCTTTTCCTGCCAAGTCACAATAAGCCCCTCTGGTGTTAGCCATCTAAAATTTACTTTGCTTTGATGTAACCTGGACGTCAGAAAGAGATAGTTCTTTCAGAGCTCTCTCATCCTTTTTGGTATTTGTTTTAACACAATAATTTGTTTCCCTCCGTATTCTAACTGTTCGTCATGTGTCCTATATAATATTTTGTCTCTAATTTTCTTTTTTATAAACTTCACATGGACCTCTCTGGGAAGGTTATGTCGTCTCCCATAGTTTGTCTGCACCCTTTATGTCTCATCCATCCCAGCAATCATCTCTTCTTTGTCAATCTCAAGAGCTCCTGCCAACAAACCTGCCATCTTGTCTGGAAGATCTTCTCCTCTTTCCTCTATAACAGCGGTTCTCAACCTGTGAGTTGCGACTCCTCCTCCTCTCCTAAGCTTCAAAGCACGATCGGCTTCCCAAGGGTGCCACAATCCTCACAAAAGCGGGGGGGAAGCAAAGGGGGCGAGAAAGCTCGCGGCAGACTCGGAGCACCTGTCAGCGTTGGTGACAAGAAATTCCCTACAAACCCAGGGAAGGGGTGGAGAAAAGGAGCCCCCTTTGGGA